CCCACGCATCCCAAAAACAACCAGCTCAATCTGATTCGCTAATACGGGTAATAAATATAGCACAACAGAAAAATATGTTATAAATACCATGTTTTTATTCTCCGTAAAATAGCTTTCCAATATAGATGTACAGTCATCTGGCGTCCGTCCACTTCTTAGACCAGGGTCGCATCTGACTGCTGCTGTTGTTCGAATAGACTACCACATCATCAACTATACGAAGCTCGTATCTGTTATTAGGCATAACTTTTGTATGAGTCTGTATGAATCCATCCACAGCGTCGTAGTTGAGGTCAAGAGCGCCCATGTCTAGATTTGAATTTCGCGCCACCAATATTTTGTAGAAAGAGAGACAATAAAATAACTTTAAAGTATAATTTATTTACTTTTAAACACTTTAAGCGTTTTTAAATATAACACTTTCAAAAGCTGAGGTTTGCTATGGTATTAATTCAAGTGCAAGTTAGAATGAACACGTGTTTTGATTTAAGGTAAGTACTTGATGTGGCTGTGCTCTAGCGGCCTACAGGTTGTGGATCTACAAGTGCGCCCCTAGCAGCTGATTCCGTGGCCAGCCTCTAGCTACCACTCTGCTCATCCATCCATCCAGATTCCAACTTTTTTGGTTTTATGGCTTCTCTTGAAATTAGCACATAATCGTCAACAAGAAAAGATTATATTGTAAAAGTTTTCTTCTAGACACATTTTTCCTGAGCTATTGCATTCTCCGAAATGCACTTTTTTTGAAAAATTTCTTGTTTTTTTTTGCGTTCTACTTCTTACAAAGGAAGTTTATCTTCGGAAGCATTATCAATAGAAATGTTTTATCTCTGATAGTCAGTTGTCACATCCAAAGAGAACTTGGCGTGGTTTTTTTTTTGGTTGTTTTATGTACCGTTGAATTTATAATAAGTTGAATACGGGATACTATGGAACTCCATTCAGAAGTAATATTATCAGCTTGAACCCATAGTAAATTTGTAAAGAATCGCCTGTACCCATTATCAAATTAAAACTGCCAATGTAATGGAGTATCGAGCGGTATTTTATAAAACTATATGTACATTGAGCTAATGGTCAAGTAAAGGTGTACAAATGATATATTTGATAACACAGGTCAAAAAAAAAGTCCGGACTATTTGATCGGACTATGGTATTCCTAGGTATTTTGGCATCCTTAATGCGATCCCGGGATTAGTTTTGCCCCACCACGTTAGAAAACCCAGATTTCAAGGTCATTTAGAGGTTAAAATGGTGCTTTTTTGGAACCGGCCCCGGAACAATTTCTCAAGCGATCTGTTAGGTTGAGGGGTAACTATGTAGGTCTTGAATACCTTCCAAACATTGGAAACGGTTCCCAAATTTTAACCAGGACCAGCGCAGAGCCAGCCATGTTGGATAAAATGTTATCAGGATTGTTGTATCTCGCGAATTTCGATCGCGAGATACAACGATCATGACAACATTTTATCCACATGGCTGGCCCTGCGCTGGTCCTTGTCGAGATTTGGGGACCGTTTCCAATGTTTGGAAGGTATTCAAGACCTACTCCTCAACTCAACAGATCGCTTGAGAAATTGTCCCGGAGCCAGTTCCCAAAAAGCACCAGTTTGACCTCTAAACAATAGCGCTATTTTGATAAGCGTTATTTTGTTGAGCGCTATTTCGTGACAGAGACCAGAATAATTATAATTTATTCTATTCTCAACTTACTTTGAATACTTGATGTAATGCCACATCTGTCAACCAGAGATTGTCGTGTCTATCAACTGTTAACCCATGGGGCATGTAAAAAAAATCAGCTCCCCATTTTCCTAAGACCTTGCCGTTCAGAGGATCCAACGTAAGAACAGTATGTTCCCTGATTGGTCCTATGTGTCCCAATTGGAAGTGATGAGTTTCGTTGAAAGTGCTGAAACAAATTAACTGAAATATGTATTTGTTTACGAGTTTTTTTCGAAATTGGTGACAGCTGACGTTATTTGGACAAAAACTTAACTGAATTGAATCAAATCAGCTGTAAGGGTAGTAATATGTTTGCCCAAAATCATGCTTGAAAGAAAATCGAAGTTCGGGTAAAACACACAGTATTTAGAGATGGACATTAACATAGTTCACTGTAAATTTACTAGAACTTCAATTTTAGTTAACGGACGGATTCGATAATTCCGTTTTGTTTAAGGCCGGTTTAAAATACGGATCTAAACGTTACAGAATAAAAAGGTGTCTTCCCACATGCAGTAGAATTTTTTTGTGGTACTTTCCGTACTACTTAGGTTCAAAATCTAAAAATAGTAATTTCGAGTAAGGATTTAGGAGGAATGATATTATTTTTAGAATGAAGGCATTTAGAAATATCTTCTTTTTTCCATGTTGTTATGGGTAGTGACTCCTTTGATCGACTGTGATAGGATTCATTATCCAAACCAATAACGGAGGTGGCTGGATTTTTTTATAATGTTCTCAAGCCAATTTTCAAACATAGGGTTATCCATTTCTTCATGGTAGTCTTTTGTTTTCTTTTACACGAACATTAATAAACCATCTGGCAAACATCTATCGGTGCTTCCAATGTGGGTTATTATTAAACGATTTTCTTTTCCTGTTGAATTTTCTAATCCACAAGAGACAGCTGAGAGAAAGCTGTTTCTGTCACGTTTATTGTAACGAAAATTTGAAAGAGTGAGGGAGGTTATTTTCTATTTCTGTGTATTTTTTTAAGTGTAGGAATTTAATTTCGAAAGAAAAAAGAATTGGGTGAAGTCAGACGTTAATGCAAGTACAGGTGGATGAGTTAGATACGTTATTAAAGACACGTTTATGAGAAATACAGAGAAATATGTCTACGATCAGTTAAGGAAAATATGAAGAAGGTAGAGGAATCCGAAAACTAAAGGATACATTTGGAGATGTGAAGATGGAAACCCAAATTCCCTCTAAAAAATTAATGAATATTTCTCCTCAACCCGAAGGTGCAAACAGATCAAAGAAAAATGGAAGCTTTTCCATTTTTGGTTTATTTTCACCTTAATTGTATAGCGGGAATTAAAGTTTTCATTTTCAATTTCCAGGATCGTTGTATCTCGCGAATTTCGATCGCGAGATACAACGATCATGACAACATTTTATACACATGACTGGCCCTGCGCTGGTCCTTGTCGAGATTTGGGGACCGTTTCCAATGTTTGGAAGGTATTCAAGACCTACTCCTCAACTCAACAGATCGCTTGAGAAATTGTCCCGGAGCCAGTTCCCAAAAAGCACCATTTTGACCTCTAAATTACCTTGAAATCTGGTTTTTCTCACGTGATGGGGTAAAAATGACCCCGGTATTGGATTCAGAACGACAAAATACCTAGGAATATCATGGTCTGGTCAAATAATCCGGACTTTTTTTTTATTTTGTAAACCTGTGTAATTAAGTATTTTCTTTCAAACAAATGAATGTATAATTATAGGGCGTTAAATAGGATATATTATGCATTTTTTAGAGGACATGCCAAATTTATGTAACGTCAGCATTGAGCGTGCTGCCGCCATATTTAATTTTATTAAATGGCAATGTAGGTCTAGTGATATATCAGAGAAAAGATTACTTTTTCCTCTTTTCAAGGCTACTAAAAAAACCTCATTACTATGTAATACAGTTCCATTCATCTCCTTAAAATACCTATTTGCTAGACTTTTCGCTACCCTATATATATAGTATCACAAATAAACAATAATAATGTAATACAGTCCCATTCATCACCATACAATTTCATAATAAATATACATTTCAAAGAAAATCATGCCACTTCCATTAGCATTTACATTATAGATTAATACTAGTATTTTTTATTATTTATATTTAGTTATATTTAATTTTACCATTGTCCAATTTTATAATTGTCATATTTTATTATTGTCCTCTTTTAATATTCTCCTGTTTTAATATTGTCCTATTTTCAGATAGTCCTATTCGATTATTGTGGTATTTAAATATTGTCCTATTTCCTTATCGCCCTATCTAATTGTTGTACTATTATATCATTATCCTATTTTATTATTGTTCTATTTTAATATCATCCTTTTTTAATATTGGCTTACTTAAGATGTTGGGCAATAATATTTCTTCTGTACTTTATATTCTTAAAATGTAATGTTTAGACAGTGAGATATTTGAAGTTCACACACATCATACTCTCAAGTTACTATAAAATTTAACAGAATATCAATAATTAACGAATGTTTCCACATCTATATATTTGCTCAACAAATATTTGAAATCATCAACAATCATGGACCAACCAGCTCGATATTCCTTTTACCTTTTACCTAACTGAAATCATTAATCTTTATAAATTGCAAAAAATTATCATAAATCCCTATTCGCAGTGAATTTCAGATATTTTATTTATTCAACAAAATTAATAATGTATTTGCACTAGATGAGATTCCATCAAATTATTCGACGATGAACTGTTTATGAATAATATTGTTTGTTTTAGTAATTTTCTCCATATGGCAGGAACATGTATGCATTATTTGTATTAATTTTTCTTTTACTCCAGGGGATATAGCAAATGTATTTAGTGACAGTGATAAATTTTGTTTTTTAAAGGGATTGTGACATGACTTTATGAAAGAAGAGAGATTACAATATATTTAAGTGATTGATAATAATATGGAAATATTATCAATATATCATTTTATTCAATAAATTGACCTCCTTTTGTTTTATTGGAAAAGCCAATATTTCTATTTGCTGTTTAGAACAGGGGCGGCTGCTCTTTAAGGATGCATGGCCCTGCGGCCCTTTTCTTTATTAATAATCCAGCAAGAACGTATATTTTTTTAGTAAAGCTAGCAATTTTTTATAAAAAAAATCAAAATGAATGACTTTTATTTTAATTTATACACTAATTATTACCACAAAACATGAAATAGTTTTCTCTGTATTTATGTTAGATATGGTTTGCTATTTTATACGTTTAATATAAATGTAATTTTTCTTTTAGGATGCCCCTCAACCTGAACAGATACTCTCTTCGGAGAGTCCTGATAAGCCCGAAACACCTCGAGCAGTGAAAAATTGGCCCGAAGAAGATTTGAAATTGGGACAAGTTTCAGGAGTCTCTGTAAATGCTGCTCTGCAACCAGTTATCTTCCATCGGGGTGACCGTGTTTGGAATCAATTGTGAGTGTCTTTTTAATTGACAAATATTTATTAGGTTTTCTAATTGGAAATATAGGAAACCACTTGTTTTCTTTAATCAATTCGACTATTTTTATTTATAAATAATATAATTTGTAGAATATCTGATAAAAGTTCAAAAACTAATGGTCACATTTGGAAATTGAAAATATAAACTTTAATTCCCGCTATACAATTAAGGTGAAAACAAACCAAAAATGCAAAAAGCTTCCATTTTTCTTTGAACTGTTTGCACCTTCGGGTTGAGGAGAAATATTCATTAATTTTTTAGAGGGAATTTGGGTTTCCATCTTCACATCTCCAAATGTATCCTTTAGTTTTCGGATTCCTCTACCTTCTTCATATTTTCCTTAACTGATCGTAGACATATTTCTCTGTATTTTTCATAAACGTGTCTTTAATAACGTATCTAACTCATCCACCTGTACTTACATTAACGTCTGCCTTCACCCAATTCTTTTTTCTTTCGAAATGAAATTCCTACACTCAAATAAATACACAGAAATATAAAATAACTAAATTTACAAAAAATATTACATGAATTAAATTTTCGTTACAAAAAACGTGACAGAAACAGCTTTTTAACAGAGAAAGACGAAATCATTGTGTGGAGACATGATTATTTAAGGAAAATAGTGGAAGCAATAATTTATCATGAACAGGTATTTTATTTAGATGAAACATGGGTTAATGCAAAAAACTAAATAAACAAGCCTCTAGGGAAAGGGTCTCTGGTGGAATAAAAAATCCAACAGGAAAAGAAAATCGTTCTATAATAACCCGCATTGGAAGCACCGATAGATGTTCGCCAGATAGTTTATCAATGTTCGAGTAAGAGAAAACAAAAGACTACCATGAAGAAATGGATAATCCTATATTTGTAAATTGGCTTGAAAACATTATAAAAAATCCAGCCACTTCCGCTATTGGTTTAGATAATGAATCCTATCAAAGTCGATCAAAGGAGTCACTACCCATAACAACATGGAAAAAAGAAGATATTTCACAATGGCTTTATTCTAAAAATATTATCACTCCTCCTAAATCCTTACTCAAACTTAGCATTTTTAGTTCAAGGACAATTGGGGTAAGACCATTTTGAACCAAGTAGTACCGAAAGTACTACAAAAAAATTCTACTGCATATGAGAAGACACCTTTTTATTCTGTAACGTTTAGATCCGTATTTTAAACCAGCCTTAACCAAAACGGAATTAGTAAAGTTCCAGTAAATTTACAGTAAACTACAGTACAACAAATTTGTTAATGTCCATCCCTTAATACTGTGTGTTTTACCCGAAATTCGATTTTCTTTCAAGAATGATTTTGGGCAAACATATTACTACCCTTACAACTTACAATTCAGTTAAGTTTTTGTCAAAATTTTGTCTCGAAAAAACTCATAAACAAATACAATCATGTTATTACAGTTAATTTGTTTCAGCACTTTCAACGAAACTCATCACTTCCAATTGGGACACATAGGACCAATCAGGGAACACACTGTTCTTACATTGGACCCTCTGAACGGCAAGGTCTTAGGAAAATGGGGAGCTGACTTTTTTTACATGCCCCATGGGTTAACAGTTGATAGACACGACAATCTCTGGTTAACAGATGTGGCTTTACATCAAGTATTCAAAGTAAGTTGGGAATAGAATAAATTATGATTATTATGGTATCTGTCACGAAATAGCGCTCAACAAAATAACGCTTATCAAAATAGCGCTATTGTTCAAGCGTCTGATCAAAATGGCGCCCGATCAAAATAGCACTGAAAGAAATCTCAGATAACAATTATACATGCTTTGCATATTCTTAGTGTATACTTTTTAAGAATATGCATATGCTGAGAATATACTTTATTTGCATTTAATACATTCTCAGAATATACTAAGTATACGTTACGTTGTGTATATGTGCTATGCATAAATGTACTTCAAGTATGTGTACAGAATGCAAGAAGTATCTACTTACATTTGATAGTAAGTTTTAAGTTTATGTTAAGTATTTAAATTTAGCATATACGAGGCATATACCAGAGATACCCTAATATAGGACGTTTTATAATTATTGAACATTAAAGAATAAGTGTATATAATGAAAACATATTTTAAATCTTTATTTCCAAAAATTCATACTTATTATTATTACAAATTCTTTCTATAGCTTTAACCAACCAATATTTTATTGTATCGATGGCTTGAGTTTTATTTGCTTGCTTACATTGGATCTTCATTGAACCTAAACAATAAAAAAATCAACAAACTTGGTACATATACAAATTAAGTGTACTTAACTAATGTCGAACGTAAAACATTAAAATTTGTATATGGCATTCAACTAACAAAACAAGAGTTGCATAAATGATTATTGTTTAGTGAAAGTTTAGATATATTTTTGTTAAATACTTACCACCATTTTGTAGTTTTCGTCCTCCTTTTGCTAATTTTCTAGTTTTTCCAGGTCATTTTCTGGCCTTACAGGATTCTTTTCATAAAAAGTGTGTATGTAATTCTGGTACCACTGTATTTTAGTTTCAATTCGCCATTAGTATTAACCATATTAATAAATTCACAATGGCAATTAACATTTGGGATATCCTGTATTCTAACATTATTTGTAGGTCCTAAAAATTAAAAATGTAGTAAAAGTTGTTTATTTTTATATAGATCGCTCGATGCAATTTATTTTTATTAATTTATTTACCTGTTCCCAGTTCAATAATGAAATGATGCAATAATGGAATGGCAAGCCGCAAGCGTGACCAAAAAATTTGTAGGTTATGTCATTTTTCTCTTCTATTAAAGCTGTGAATGTTTTTTTGGCCTGAACACTCAACATTAGTGCGTTTGCTAGCGAATTATCAGATCGGAATCTGGGAAAAATTCATATAGATATGTATATAAACGTGTTTTTACAAGTATTTGGTGTTAATTTTTACCTGTAAGCATTTAGTACGTTCTCACAATATGGGGTACATGATGGGTATATGACTTTTAGTATCTTCTAAGAATGTCATGTTATATCAAGTGTTGAGTATATACTTTTTAGAATTTACCTTTAAGGCACGTACTTAGTCTATACTTTTTAGAATATACTTTGAAAGGACGTACTCAGTATATACTTTCTAGAATATACTTTTAAAGTATATACTAGGTATGTTGTAAGAACATTCTAGAAAAGATATAGAAAGGACATATCAAAAAGAAAAAATATAATGTTCTTATTATATTCATAGAACATTGCTGTTATGTGGGATAGCGTGTACTCAGAATAGCGTATATCAAAAAAGCATCAGTCAGAAATGGAGCCAAAGGAAATAATAAGCGACGTTAAAAGCACTCATTTCTATGCAGGTATACTCAAAGCTTGTGTCGGACTGTTTGGAAGCCTTAACAGAGCTGGGTAGTCAAAACAGACTAACCTTAGCCTGAAAACCATGCAACGAAGAGGTTGATTTACTAGTCCGAGAAGGAGCCTCAAAAGCCCTTATTGGTCAAGAAACCTTCTGTTGTATCACAAAGACAGTTATCAAATTATACACAGTGGATCTTTAAATCTCACGAGTGGTGGAAAAATTTACCAGGATATAGACAGGCCATAGAATTTTTGAAAGGGTTTAATAGGAAAAATACTAGAGTACTAGTAGGTCTATTAACCAGACATTGTAAGCCTAACAAACATATGTATAATACCGGTCTGACAGAAGAGACCGTGTGGCGATTCTGACAGGAAGAGGAGGAAACTGCAGACTTATTGTGCTACTGCGAAGGTCTAGCAAGACTGAGATTCCTTAAACTTGGAAAAGAGAAACCAAGGGCAACTAGCTTCGCCTGAGGACTACTTCCCAGTCTATGGAAGACCGAATTAGACAAGGTACTCTAAACAACGAATAAAGGATATCCACAATAGATTTGAAAAAACAATTTAATCAAGGCAAAGGAGCCTTTTGAAATACTTTTCTTGAATTTTAAGGACCTCTACCTCATAATAAGAATCTGCAAGTATGTTTCTACAGCGGGTATTATACAACATTTATTAATTTCTCTCTTATCGAGTTACCAAACTATCTACATTTTAATAAAATCTCATCTTTAGTGTCGCAAGAATGAAGGAAAGTTCTTCAATCTAAAGGATCTAAAGAATCCACAAGGTACCGGCCAAATAGAAAAAAAAAACACGACATAAGTTGTAAACAATTCAATTAACTATTAGATTAAAGTACCTAAAAATTTTTTAATGGAAATTGGGTCTTCCAGAACGTTTACACTCCATTAGATCCTTACTATGTATTGCTAATAACACAACGCCTCATAAAAGAATCTTCACAATAGAAGATCAATAAAAAGACAATCATTACCCTCGTGGCTATCTACTCCTGGAACTATCTTCAAGAGGAAGAACAATCGTTCCAACAAATATGAGTAGAAGTAGAACTTCTAAAGGCTAATCTGGATTAGTAGTATGTCAGCTTGAAAGATGGAAAAGAAACGACTGTATTAAATCGACATTTGGCCCCCAAAGGAAACGAAGAACATTTAAAACATGAAGTACCTACCTAAATACTTAGAAACTCCACCCAATGCTCTTTTGAAGTTGATAAAACTTCAGAAAATTATTCCACGTCCATATAATGTGCCGCTTATCCTGAAAAACCGGTCCCAACATCTTCGATTGATGTATAAGAAAATACCAGTGATATACATTAATGTGACACAAACCAACTGAGGGTATCAACACGAACTAGATAAATTCCAAAGTGTTTAAAAGATTATTAACAAATTTGAAGGTATAGGAAGAATGTGGCATAAATTATACATTGTTGATATCATTATAATTCTGTATTATGCTTTAATTTGTAATTGTCAGAAATCAATTTAGCTGTCTTTTTCTATGCTCTGTTTTTGTGGAATAGAGCCATTTATTCTGGAGTTTTTACTACAATATATTTATTTTTGGGACATTTTGAACCTCTAACCCCACGTCACAGCATATCTAACAATCAGCATTACCATTTAAATGGATACGAACTAACTAAAAAATCTAAAACAACAAATAAAAATGGCTATGTTGGGCAATTCGTATCTATTCAATCTAATGTTACTAATGTTAATTAAATATGGAATAAAAAGGATGCCGTCAAAACCTAACAAATAATACATGTACGACTACGTATCAATCAGGTTGTTTCGTGTGAGAAATGTGTATCAATAAAAAATGACAATATTGCATGGCTTCCCGCTGCTTTTTCGCCAAACGAGGTGATGCTGATTGTTTTAAGTGTGCTCTGATCAAATTCTTGCGCAAGATATCGTTTAGGTTTTTCGTAACATCATTTATGATTTGATGCCTTTTATACTGTTAATTTATTTCAAAAATGGTTTAAATCCTAGGCAGTATTTGACTAAATATAACAAAATACGTAGATCGCACGTTGATTTATCCTTAGGTCTCGTAAATGATCTTGGTGTTGTTTTAATATTACATTTTTTTTAGTTTAAACCTGGAGAACTCCAACCAGCTCTTACATTTGGTGTTAGATTCGAACCTGGTTCTGACAAGAAGCGCTTTTGTAAACCAACATCTGTAGCTATCGCATCTACCGGAGAAATTTTTATTGCTGATGGTTATTGCAACACAAGAATACTTAAATATAATGCGGCTGGAACTCTGTTACGAGTTTTTCCCACTCCTCCAGGTAACAAACTAGATCAATTTGAAAAAATGCAAATTAAATATGATTATTTCTTCTATTTTTTTAGATCGTTTTGCTGCCAATACCTATTTTTGGTAGAGAGTAGTTTATTTCTGACAATGTTCTGATATCATCTTGTTTTTTCTTTTCTCATTAGAAACTTCTTAATCTTCAATTATCTGTACGCGTCTTTTTAATTTTTGGTATAGGTTCACTTTTAATGACAAAGTGGCTGAATTTTTTTAGTATTTGCAGCTATTTCCGTATCTTTTTCTAGATAATTGAGTAAATTTTGCTTAAAAAGATATTGCGAAACTGATTTTATTTTTAACAAGGAACATAATTTGTACAATTTGTTGTTGAAAACAATGAAATAGACCAGGGGCTACCAGGGACAATTGTAACAATTTTTATATTATATATCACCTCGTTTTGCATATTGAACACAATTCACCATGATTTTGGTAATCTAATACCCAAGTCTTAATTATTTGCCTAATAATGTTACGTGTTACAATTATTGTATCACTCCTGGAAACAAATATAATATTATATATAACTCTGAAACACCAATAAACACATAAAGAATATTCCGTAAAAATTAATTTTAAACAAATGAAAGATTTTTTTTAAATATATAAAGTAATACAAAATGTTGAATGATAAAATTATTCTCTGCAATGAATACAGTAAAAAAAGTAAATCATCGTCATCATGTCTGCATTTGAAATGAGCCCAATCTTCACACTTGCAAAAGGCGTCATCATCTGACAAGCTAAATTCAATATCCTTTTTCTTTTTTGAAAATGCCTTTCTTACTTTTTCCGAATTCTCTTGCCTTGCTTTTGCTGCCTCCTCTTCGAATGCCATCTTCTCCAGAGTTTCCGACAAGATAGCTGATTTCTTCTTCCTTCTGGTCGAATGTGTTTAAACAATTCTTTATAGGTATTTAATTCATCAGCTTGCCTAGATGTTGATGCCTGGCTCCGATACGTTAATTATTTGAATAGTTCCGGAAAATGTCATACCTTCATCACCTTCTTTAAACGTGAATGCTACATGTTCTCTTAACGTACATAGTAACTATTCATTATGAGAAATTGGGCCAAAAATATCTGCGGATGATGTCTATTAAATAATTTTCAATGGAATCTAGTGGCTTGCCCGTTGTTAAAGGCTTAATAGAGAAAATTCCACTTACTTTGAATCCATTTATTATTTTGGAAGTTTCACTTGGATTATTTTTCATCCAAGCGTCCACAGAACTGTTCAGATATGAGTTTAGTATCCCATAGACACTTATATCCAAGGGGTGTAAATTATTGAAAGTATGTAGCGGGAACAATAAAAAACTATGCCATGTTCTCGACAGAAATCAATTGTTTATTTATTATTTATTTTATTTATTTATTTATACATTGTTCAACAGGTTAAACCCAATTACAGAACAGGAGTACATTTGAAAGAAAACAGTTTAACAAAAAGCATATAGATAATTAATCTAAAATTACAGTAAATACTAAATTATTTTAAACAATGTGTTGTTATGTTTTTAACACTGCAATTAAATATATCCAACTGTTCACTAATATTATTATAATTATTACACATGTTATGTACAGGTGAAAACTTCAGAACGTTTGTCCGAGGAGTCGCTATGTAAAATGATTCGGTATTTCGAGAGGTTGCGCGTGGGATTCTAAAATTAAGCATATGTAAAAGCTTCACAATTTATTTTAAAATTAACAACTTTATAGAGGGTAATTATGGAGAAGTACTTCCATCTTACGTCGAGACTTGTCAATCTGTGTCTAGTCAGTAACGCCTTTGTGTGGACTCTATCCGACAAATGTGTATTTGATAATAAGGATCCCAAATAAACGAGGCATATTCAAGTTTAGATCGAACAAATGAGAAATACAATGATTTAATAGTATCTGTATTTTTAAAATCACGGCCCACTCGTACTATGAATCCATACATACGATTTGCTGCTGTTGAAATATTATCTATGTGGTATTGTTTGCAGACCTAAGTGAGATCTATCCAATAAAAGCACAATTTTCTTTTAAGGTCGGTGTCCATCCATCCAGAACCATTAGCTTTTCCTATTGAACCAACTGAAGCTTGATTGAGTCATGAAGTATGGCTTGAACCCCTTCCTGTGAAATATGGACATAGGCGGGATCACATTCCCTATGGCATTCACAGTTACACAGAGAGTAACTAATGTTCCTCTTTCTGCAGAGGTAACGGCTCCTACTTGTTTTAGTAACAACAATTTTATTTGATTTTTGGACAGTAGTTACTCCTATTTCGTCCACATTATATATGCTAGCAGTCTTAAACTCATCTATCTCTATTACCATGGCTAAATTGTCGAAAAATTTTCCAACGTTCACTCTGTTGAAATTCACAGCCCTAGCGTGACTTGTGACATCTGATACTATAATCGATAATGTGGAATTTATCTTCATAAGCAATCTCCTGCCCTTATTTTCGTTACACGCCATTGCTCTGGAATATGGAATATCAGATGGTGTGAGTATGAAGTACACGTCTGCTGAATTTCGATTTTATTCACAAAATAATAACTCCTCTTCTAAAGGCAATATTTTGTTATGTGAATTGTAAGCAAAATTGGGATTTATTATGCCACTTTTAACTTTTTTGATGTATCTGTTGAGTGTTACATGACAAATTTCAAAATTGTTTTGCAGCTTCCCTGGAGATACCTTGATCTAAAACCAATGCATTCTGTAAATTAGTAGTAGAAGAGCTTCTCTCAGTTTTTCTTACTGTCGGACGTGGCATTTTTCTGCAAAATAAAATATTCAAGCATCAAGAAAAATAAATTTTGTTACCATGTAGTGGGAGACAATTGGAACATTTTACAAGCGGCCCTTACTAGAGTGTTACAAATATCTCCCACTACCATTTTATTGTTTAAAATTAATCTATACAAACCTGTAACTTGTTTAATTAATTAACTAACAGTGTATATTTAAATAAATCGTATGCAAAATGTCAGCGCATTTGCTACATATTGACTCTTCTTTTCATCAAATTAATTTAAAAACTGAAAAATTACTTACAGTTTGAAGAATATAGTGTCTGCACGTCAACGAAGCCAATCACTGAACTTATCACATAGTGGCGCGCGTTATAAATTATATTAGCGTTTTGATATGGGCGCTATTACAATAATTGTACCATGTTACAATTGTCTCTGGTTTCCCTTACTCAAATTGAGAAAGGAGCCACTTTTCATAATGTGTATATTTTTTACTGAAACAACTTGCTAGGCCTACTGTTTTTAAGTAGATCCACTGTTTCTGTCTCTGTTCTCCAGTTTTAGGGATGAAATCGCCAACTTAACAAATTTTATTCTTAATTTATTAAGTTTGCCACATTCTTCAGTAAATGGTTAAATAATATTTTCTCTAGTAAATTTTCTGAAGTAAAAGCAGTGTAATAAGCATCCACTACTGTAGGTTTGCTCCATATAAAAAACCTCAAGAGAATCATTATGTTTTTATTTAAAATGCAACAAAGAATAAGTAGGGCATCATAAAAAGAACATGCATGCCAAACACAACGTAGTTGAATTATCTGATTCAGACTGATCTAAAGGAAATACCTATTATTTTTCATTGGTTTCTTTTTTGTTTCCGTACGTTAAGTATCTGTATCTGTAACGTGTGGAGGGTGGGTTACCCCCACGGCACTAAGGCCTTATCAGGCCCATTGTGCATTCTCCTAAGAAGATAGGCACCTCCTAGCTCGTGAACCAGCCTACAAATTTAATGTAGTTGACAACGTCGCCAACAGGTGCTTCTCTTATATCGGCCAGTGTTAGCCGATGCTCGCCGAACACAAATCTTCTAATAAATGAGAGCGTCAAGCAATCGTAAAGGATATGCTCGATGGTCTCATCTTCTTGTTCGCACCCTCTGCAGAGTGCGGATTCTGACAGCCGCATGATATGGAGATGCTTTCGTACTTGGCAATGACCAGTCAGAATGCCTGTGACTAGGCGCAGACTCTGTCTAGTCATAGTCAAGTATTTGTTTGCTGCAGTGTTATCAGAATAACTTAAAAGCTCCCTGGCAACTGCAGTTTCTTGTTTTATCCCATCTTTCCTTGAATTTCACAAGGGAATGTTCTTTGATTAGGTCTGTCACTGCTGATTGTGTCAGGCCAATAGAAGGGCCAGGTCCAAAAAGTATTTGGTTTGCTGCTTTCTTGGCTAGTGAATCAGCAAGACGGTTACCTTTCGATGTGGCGTGACCTTTAATCCATCTTAAGGTGACCACGTTGTTGATGGATACTTCAGCCAAAGCTTCGTGACATTCTAGTACTAACCCTGAATAAATTCGTGGTCTGTTCAGGGTGAGTAGTGCTTGTCTGCTATCTGTATAGATGAGCATGTTTCTTCCAGTGATATTGTTTGTGGTTATTTCTTTTGCTACTATGAGAATCCCCGTTAGCTTTGTTTGAACTACACTGGCACTATTGCTCACAGCCCATATTATGTTTAGGTTTAAGAATCTGGAGTATATTCCACATCCTGAGCCTTGTTTTGTTTTAGAACCGTCGGTGTAAATATGAATCGTACCTGCCACTTCCGGCTCTTCCATTTATTCTATTATAACTTTATATGGCCTATGAAAGATATATTTCGGTGAGATGGAATCCATGTTCGCTTAAAGCAGTGGCAGCATATCCAGCGCCTCCTGTCAAAAGTAACGTCTCGCCTCACCAGTCCATGCGACGACTCTGGGGGTGATACCCCAGGTGCGCCCCACAGTTCGGCGGCAATGTATGCTCTTTTAACTCTGTTTTCTAAATGCGAGTTCCATGTTAACTTGCTGCCAAAGGTAAGAACTAGGTACTTCACCTCTGTTGCAAAGTTTACTTTTGTGTTTAGGAGTTCTGGAGGTTTTAATTCAATTTTCAACCTTTTCCTAGTGAAAAGGACCATTTCTGCCTTCTTAGGATTGATAGACAGTGAATGGTCCTTGCACCACTATTCTATAATTTTTAGAGCTACTTGCATTCTTTCGCAGAGTAGGTATGCTCTTAAATTTCCCTGTTTGCAGAATGACCAGGTCATATGCATATGCTATTGTGTAGTGACTGTCATTATTGAGGCGGCTGATGAGGGTTTCGAGGACCATATTCCACAGTAGAGGTGATAGCATCACTCCCTGTGGACATCCCCTCGCAACCAAGCCTCTTATATTCACATCTTCTACACTTATGTTTACTGCTCGCTTTGAGAGCATGTTATGTATCTACCCACTAATCATTTAAGGAACATTCCTGTTGGTTATTGAGTGTATTATCTTTGTGAAGGTGGTTTTATCAAAAGCACCTTCTATGTCTATGAAAATACCCAAGGCGGACTCCTTATTGTCCAGGGATTTTTCTATCCGGCCAGCAACTAGATGAAGGGCTAAATCAGTAGATCTGCCTAGGGTGTATGCATGTTGGTTTGGGTGTAGTGGTCTTGTTGTAATCACCGCATCCCTTATGTACCTTTCGCATAGCCTTTCCAATGTCTTCATGGAAAACGATGTCAGACTAATTGGTCGGTATGTTTTTGGGACAGTGTAATCCATCCTTCCAGGTTTGGGTATAAATACAACTTTTACCTCTCTCCATTTTTGGAGGATATACCTCAGAGCCAACGAGGATCTGAATATACCCACCAGGTGCGGTGTGAGTTCTTCCAGACCCCACTGAAGTAGGGCTGGATAGATACCGTCAGGTCCTGGCAATTTAAATGGAGAGAAACTGGATATTACTTAAGTAATTTTTTCATTGTCTACAATGTATTTGGCAGTTTGCCAATCATAGACAGATGGATTGTATTCTTCCTCTGCCCAGTCCGCCTCGTCTGTGATGACCGGGTCAGGGAAGTGTGTTGACAACAAAAGTTTGATGCTATCTTCGTGGTTGGCAGTTTTCGTGCCATCCTCTTTGATTAGCGCACCAATGCTTCGGTGTGGATCTTTTGATAGAGCTTTTTGAAGCCTCGCTGCCTGCGGGAAATCTTCGATTTCTTCGCAGTAGGATCTCCATCTCTCTGTTTGTGCCTGATGATTTTTTTGTATTCTCTGAGGTGAGATTTGTACATTAAGTATATATGTTATTATTTGTTTTTATTCTTTGTTTATTTTATAATTTGGGTAGAAAAATGTTTATTTTTCGTTTCTCGTATACTTGTTTTTTTTTACTACACTGCAAATTATAATAATTATTTCCCCCTGTATTAAAATCTACTGTTCAGATCTACGGTTTTTTTTACCCATACTGTTCTAGCAAATTTTCATCTGTTAACACAGCCCAGGATAGAACTTCGCAACTATCATTTCTATAAAATATAGACTAATCACCTCGATAACATGCGATGACTAAGCGAGACAGGCAGAAAACGCTACCCCGAGACCGATCTATTTATCGTCGACTTCTGTCTCTCGGACGTGTCACGCCTTGCGAAATGTGTTTCATACGTGTTCAGACGTGAAGAGACCGTTTCTGGTCTCCTTTGCCGTCGCGTCTGCTGTCGTATGTCGTCTGGCGCGTATTACGAAATGGTACCTTTAGAGTTGTTTTTTTTTTTAATATATAGTCAGTGTCACCGTTAAGCCGGTTTTTCACTAAACAGACAGTGAAGTTTATGTTTGGTTTGTGTTTTCTGGAACTTGAAAAACAAAAAAAAGACCGGCCAAGTGCGAGTCGGACTTCGGCATTAAGGGTTACGCACCATCGTACAAGATTTATTACTACGTAGGTACCTTTTAAATACTTTATTAAGATTGAGCAAAATTCCAAAAAAAAAACACGTTTCTAGTAGGAAAGTCACTTTTAATTTTTAATTTATTTTTATTTTTATTATTTTCTATTATAGCGGCAACAGAAATACACAATCTGTGAAAATTTCAACTGTCTACCTATCACGGATCATGAAATACAGTGCGCTGACAGCCTGACGGACGGGCAGCAGAGGCTTAGTAATAGGGTCTCGTTGGTTACCCTTCGAGTACGGAATCCTAAAAAAACAAAACTGAAACAAACTTAAAACTCTTGTTTCTTTAAGCGGGCTACATTTTATTCCAGTTTTGTTTTTGTTTTCGGTCCTTTTCCACTACTTGTCACGAGGAAGTCAGAACACAATAACCAACCAACATGTTTAGAGAAGATTTTTTATTCTTAGTTGTGGCTGCGTTATACTGCGGTTCCTAGAAAAAAATAAGAAAAAGTACGAGTCTTTTTTTAATCACCCTATATGTATATCTGTATATCAGAGCCAGACTACGTCTATTTACTTATCTATTTCCAGTAAATAGTAAACTTGAGTTTCAAAACACGTCAAAACCTTTTGGGCGAGGCAAACATTTCAACTGTCGCAAAACACGCCAGTCCTCAAAAGGTTAAATTGGAGGATTAAACAGTTTTTGCTTTAAAAATAATGAAAAAGCACGTTGACGATTTTATCTGCCGATCGATTATATCTGTCAAATTTTCAAAAATTTCTTAAATTTTGAAAAACTTGTTTCCTATTTCGATTTTCTATCTACGTACAAAATTTGAACAAATTTGGACAACTTTTTGATTTTTTTTTGCGTTTTCTCAACTGAATTTTTTTAGCTTATTCGAATTTCTGTAAGGTATATAGGTACATAAATATAGTTGAAAAGCATTTTACTAGCTTTTAAACGATGTATAAGAAGAAGTAAGGAGTGGCTCTTTTTTTTTGTTGATGTAGGTGGCGCCTAGGGAAGTTCTGTATTTTGTCATTTTTAAGTTCCCCTTAGTATCCTAGAAACGAACCAAAATTATTAATAATAGTGAGTTCACTGACAATATTTATTTTTCTGTTATCATCTTTGGTTCACGAGCTATAGCCATTATACCTAAGTTTTTAAGTTGTCACCGACACCCTGTATATTTTGTGATACAGATAAGATTTAACAAAAAAATGAAGCAGCTCAGTTTTCGTTTTGAGTAATTTATACAAGTATTTTTTTTTTATTCTAGAAGCCCTTTCGCTGCAAGTACCTCATGGACTCGCTTTAATTGAGCCAATGGACAGAATCTGCGTAGCTGATAGAGAAAATATGAGAGTGGTTTGTCCCAGGGCGGGTTTATATACTTTGCAAGGGAAAAAAGAACCTGCCCTTACCATTACTCAACCAGATATGGGCAGAGTGTTTGGAGTTGCATCAAAAGGTATATCTTTTAAATATTTAAAGTATTTAAAAATGGGTAATAGTCACCGTATAAGTCACAATGTTTAAAAATATATCTTTCTTTTAATATCAAGGCTCTTCTAGACTAACGCGAATATTTGCGCAGCTCAATACTGACACTATCGCGAATTTTACCGCTTAAAATTGTATGCTATTATTGTATTACTATTTCACAACGAATTTTTCGTCGTTGATTCGCGAACAAACACTTATTAAAAATATAGAAAATGGAGCACATTGTAGTCATTTAAGTAATTAATGAGAACAAAAATGTTTATATTAGCTTTAGAATAAATATAATATATAAATAAAAGGCCATGTGTAGATTAACTGCAGAAAACCGATAATTATTATTCAAATTAAATACGCAGGTTTTTAAAAAGAACGTAGTCATTTACATAACCAGTTACGAAATACCTTATTTTGCGTAGAGAGTAAATATTTGTGGGACAAACAGTAATATTTAAAAGACCTCATTTCGTAACGTGTTACAGTAAAACCCCGATTATCCGTGGAGTGGATTTTCCGTGCGGCATTTTAAATCGATCATCCGTGCGCGGATTATCCGTGTGTGGCGGACACGTTGGCGCATGAGCGCTGGTTACTTACGGATGGCCACTCAACATTTGATTTAATTTTTCTGAAGCCTAGTTCTATTAATTAATCAATCACATAGTGAATACGGCTTGCTTGGAAATTTGGGCAAAAAATAACCTTTTATTTTTGTTAGGGAAAATCGAATTTTCCATGTTTTATCCCCAGGAGTCACTCGTAGGTATATTTCCTTTCATTCTACTTAAAATCGATGTACTTTTCAACCCTCTTCGAGGCTTGCATGCCAAAATGGAGTACCTAAACCTGTAACTATTTAACGGTCTATTAGTATAGTAGTTATTAAACGTCAAATCAAAGAATAAGGACATTTTAATTCTTTTCATTAATATAAATGATTAAAAATAAGACGATTAAACGAAACATGCTTAGATAAAATATTACTGATTTCTGAAATACAGGGTTAAAGTTGAAAATTCAAAACTTGTTAATGGCAATAATTTTTTTATTTTTCAGTATAATTTTACCAAATTAGGTAAACATTGTTGGTTTCATAAGATACACCTACCAGTGAAACAATCAGTGACTTACAACACGGATAAGTAACACTTTCATCCCCTCTAAATTTTACGCCACTGTCCAAAAACTCATTTGGACTATACTTTTACATTTTTTGTTGTAAGTAAACCATGTATTTTGATTTTTTTTTTGTAAAATTGCACCGAGCAAACGTTTTTGGTGTCATAATATACACCAATCAGCAAAAAAATCAGATAAATAAACTTTGCCAGTGGCGTACGGCATGGGTAAGTAAAACCTTCATTCCTCCTAAATTTTACGCCACCCTCCAAATATTTATTGGACTATAATTTTGAATTTTTTCATGAATTTTAAATAAATCATGTACTCTTGTTGGAAATTTATAAAGAAATCCAAATTTAAAAAATAAATTAAAATTATGTCCACCTTTGAGTATGAATATCTCGAAAACTAATCACTTTATGACCACACGGTTTATTTAATAAAACCTCAAAAAATGTAAAAATATAGTCCAAATAAGTTTTAGGACAGTGGCGTAAAATTTAGAGGGTGTTACTTATACATGTTGTACGCCACTGGTAAAGTTAATTTTTTTGATTTTTTTTCTGATAGGTGTATCTTATGACACCAACAATGTATACCGAATTTAGTAAAATTATACTGAGAAAAAAAAATATGGCCATTAATAATTTTTGAATTTTCAACTTTAACACTCTGTATTTCGGAAATCAGTAATATTTTATCTAAGCATGTTTCATTTAATCGTCTTATTTTTCATCAGAAAATCTTCAGTTGATCTGTGTACCATTTTTAATGAAACGCCCTGTATAGTCATATCAGTGTCGTGACTTTAGGTTCATAACGCTTTAAAATAGCGAACAAACCAGAATTTTTAATAATCGTTAATTCACTGACAACATTTATTTTTATATAGCCAACCTTATATACAGAGAAATTAATTAATAATTTAAAATAGAGAGTAAAATACTATTCAAATTCAATATTAGGCCAGGAAATTATATTTTAGCTAGTTTGAAATGAAAAATTCTTGTCCATTCTTCAGAGCAGCCATACTTAAACTTTTTTCCTTCGGATCACAATATTTTTGGATAATGACCCTTTTTCATTTAAAATTAGTTAGTGAGGACCTCTTATAATTAAAACACAAAACATAAATATATTTACTGCTAAAACATGATAACTCAAATTTTTAGAGTTCCAGGAAAATGCTGCTTAAAAGATTAAAAATTAATAAAAAATCAGTAAAAGCTTCAAACTGTTTAATAAACAATAACTCCAATAAAAAAAGGTATTCAAAACATAATTAGTCTTCACAAAGTATAAACTAAGAATCAATCCATCTACGCACAGGTCATAATATTCAATGTATGTATTTCTATCTTCAATAGAAGATTTAGGTACCGTGTCGTTTAAAATTATTGGATACAGGTAGATTTTGATAATTACGCTGAAATTCATCAGATGTGGCAACTGATTTAAAAAGTTTCTGTAAATTTTTCTTCTTGCACTTTCTGTATTTACAGGGCTATTTTATTATTTCACACTTTAGGAATCCTTCTATTGATTTTTGAAGAATAGTTGTATCGCGGAAAGAAATGGTGACGTAATCGCCTTGTCGATTTTGAAACAATCGAGAAAGGCCTGAGACGGCTATAGGCAAAACAAAACAAATAGCTTGGGCAAAATGTTGAAGTATTTCAACAAATACATTCAACAAAAATAAATGTTTCGACTTTGCGTGATATCCATTCCTGGATATCACCTCGGCAGTGCATGGTTATCCTGTTTTTTTTTCTTTGTTATTGTCTGTCTCTTTCTCTATCGTCTATTTGTTTCACTTTCATTATGTTTTTAATAAATTGGTATATCTTCTCGTATGCCTCTTTGTTTGTTTGCCACCATTTTCGCTACTATATTCTTCGGCGTCATTTCTCCAAACTCCCTTTGTATGTTCTCTCTTAGTGTTTCCCACTTTTCGCAACTAAAGATTGTATGTTCAGGGGTATCTTCTACTCCGCAGTATCCGCACAAATCGTCTTCTCTTTTATGCATTCTTTTAAGATACGAGTTATAGCACCCGTGACGACCTGTTAGAAATTGGCTAAGGTAGAAATCGGTTTTTCTGAATTTGCACTTTACCCACTCGTTTATATCTGGAATTAGTCTCTTGGTCCACTGTGCTACTTCTGTCGTTTCTTCCCATATCCATTGCCATCTACCCATTATTTCTTCTCTTACTCTGTTTCTAGTTGCAGTAAGATGACCTTCCCCGCTTTCATACAATAGATGTCTTTCTACTGCGAGCAAATCTATTGGAATTACACCAGATATTACATTTGCTGCTTCCTTAGATATAGTGCGATAGGCCGATGCCACTCTAATTAGCATTTGTCTCTGGAGACTAAACATCATATCCCTATATTTCTTTTTTTCTAGGACTGTATACCATATGGGTGCTCCATATAGTGCAATCGATTCCACTACCCCATACAACATCCTTCTTTTCAGACTTCCTGGTCCTCCTATGTTTGGCGTGCCCTTTCTACCGTTTGTTTTATATGTTGGTTAAATAAAATTTTATCATCTAGCCAAACTCCAAGATATTTTATGCTCTTTTGAGGAGTTATTTTGCTTCCCTTTAACTCAAAACTTACTCCGTCTTTTTGTCTTGCCCCTTTAATCAGTACCGCTTCAGTTTTTTCCGGTGCCAGTTTTAATCTGTTTTCCTCCATCCATATTGAAATCCTCAGTAAAGATAAGTTGGCTATATATATATCAGCTCTTCCTTTCTCATTGCTTGAACCAGTAGTTCCAAATCATCAGTATATCCAACCATTTGTGTCCCCTCTGGAAGCCGGATTCTTAAAACCCCGTCATACAGGATGTTCCACAAGGTCGGTCCCAGCACTGACCCCTGTGGGACTCCGGCAGTGGCTAATTCAATCTCCCTATTATTGATTTTAATTTTTCTTTGATCTAGGTTACTTTCTGCTGTTCCAATTAAGTAAGGACTTATGCCGATCTCTCTCATTTTCCTTATAATAAGGCTCCAAGACGCTGTGTTAAAGGCATTTTGCACATCCAGTGTAATAAGGGCAAATAATGCTCCCTTACGTGTCCTTCTTGCCACTGTCACCACCCTATCAACCGCTTGTATAGTTGAATGGCCCTTCCGAAAACCGAACTGGTTCTCCGAGAGCCCGTTTTTTTCTTCAAGCTCCTTTTCAAGTCTCATCCTAATGAGCATCTCGTACAGCTTACCAAATGTGTCCAGCAAGCATATAGGTCTATAGGTTTCCTCCCCTTCAGTATTTTTTTGCCCTTTGGAATCAGGACAATTCTGGCTTCTTTCCATATATTTGGAAAAATTTGGTTTGTTATCAGTGCATTCACCATATCCAGAACTTTGCCTGGAGCAGCCCCTATAAGTTCCTCGATAGTTTCCACCATTATACCATCTGGTCCTGGAGAGCCTTATTGTTTTTTAATTTGTCTCCTGCCTCATATAATTCCTGCATATCGAACAGCTTTACATTTTCTACTACTGTGCCTTTAACCCATATATCTTCTCTTTTCAGGAATAGTTCTGAGATTATCCTACGCTTTTTCTCAGTCGTCAGAGCATAAGGTAGCCTTTGCTGTTTAAGCTGTTTAACAACAATCCTATAACCCTCTCCCCATATATCTTCTTCCAGATCATGGCATAGCTTAATCCACAGGTCTATTTTAGACTTATTTATTGACATTTTAAGTTCTTTCTTGTTTTTTTTTTGTAAGTTTCTTTTTGTTCTCTAATTTGTTGTATTGTCTCTTCATTTCTTACGTTTGTTGCTCTCATCCGTTTAATTCTTCTCCTAGATGTTATAC